CCCGGCAGGGAGCTGGCCTACCAGATCGCCGAGCAGTTCCGTGTCCTGGGGAAGCCCCTCGGCCTGAAGGACTGCGTGGTGGTGGGCGGCCTGGGTGAGTGGAGCCCCCGCCTGGCCCCGGTAGGGCTGGGAGAGAGCAGAATCCCGGGAAGGCTCCTCTTTCCACGTGGTTTGTTCTCCTCACACCGAGGAGCCGCTCTCCGCTTCGCAAGGCTGGTGGGAGTGAGGAGAGGGAGGTTTTCCAGCTTTACTGGCTGAACGAGGTCAGGGCCTGAGCCCCGTTGCCTGTACCTGAGCTCCGTGGTTCTTGCCGCAGACATGGTGGCGCAGGCCCTGGAGCTCTCCCGTAAACCCCACGTCGTCATCGCTACGCCCGTCTGGCGGATCACCTCCGCAGCTCCAACACGTTCAGCCTTAAAAAGATAAAGTTCTTGGTAAGGCGCTTTTCCAGCGTTTTGTTGGTTTTTAATGCTTTTAAAGCTCTGTAGCCCTTTGGGTACGTGTGCAGGTGACTCAATGTTTCCGGCTGTGCCCAGGTTTTGGATGAAGCTGACCGGTTGTTGGAGCAGGGCTCCGCCGACTTCACCGCGGACCTGGAGGTGATTCTGGAGGCTGTTCCGGCGCGCAGACAGACGCTGCTGTTCAGTGCCACGCTGACCGATACGCTGAACGAGCTGAAGAGCCTGGCTACGAACAAACCCTTCTTCTGGGAGGCTGTGTCCGAGTAAGTTTCCTCTCGGTTATCTCGCCTCCTTGCTGTCCCTCCTCTCCCTCGTGTTCCGCCTTCACTGACCAAACCCGTGTTTCTTGGTGCTTTGCCTCCCACCCCCGCCAGGGTGCGGACAGTGGATGAGTTGGACCAGCGCTATTTGCTCGTACCCGAAGCTCTCAAGGACGCGTACCTCGTCCATCTTGTCCAGACCTTCCAGGATGAGCATGAAGACTGGTCCGTTATTATCTTTACCAAAACCTGCAAGTGAGTGGCCTCGTTCCCCTCAATCACTCTGGAGTGCGCGTGTGACTTTACGTTTCTGGCGGAGAGATCAGATTTGCCCCGTAGGGGCTGTTAGGCTGGGATGGTGTTTGCTTCCTTAGTTTATTCTGGAATTTGGTAGAGAAGCACTTTCAGCGTTTTCAGCACCTGAAGCACTTTGGTGCGTTGTGGTAACTGCAGCGTGAGGGCTTCTTGATGAGCCTCAGCTCTGTCCTGATCTGATTATTTTAATTTTATTTCTGATTATTTAAATTTTTTTCCTTCAAGGGACTGCCAGGTCTTGAACATGATGCTTAGGAAATACAACTTCCCTTCTGTTGCGCTGCATTCCATGATGAAACAGGCGAGTGATGGGCAGATCTGGGAGATGGGTGCTGAGCCAGACAGCTCTCCCAACATCCCTCTTACAGACTTCTCCCTTTACAGCGGCAACGATTCGCAGCTTTAGCAAAGTTCAAGTCTAGCATCTTTAAGATTCTCATTGCCACCGATGTCGCTGCCAGGTAAGGGTTGCCAGAAGTCCTGAGCCTGCTTTTTAAGCACTGCAGAGCTCAGGCTGGGTTTAGCAAGAGGAGAGCTTTAAATTCCCCCTACTGGGGTAGGACAGGTTGTTCGCTTCCCCTCTAGAACACCTCTGAGCTGCGTTTTGGAGCCTGCTTGTGTGTGAAGTAGCTCTGGTCCCGGCTTGTTTTGCTGCAGCGGGGGGTGTGTGTGTGTTCTAGCAGAAGAATTATTTCTGTGAGGCTTAGTGTGTTCTCTGGGTCTGGGAGGGAGCGGCAGGCTCCAAGGTGATGTTGCATTTTGTGACTGCTGGAGAGCTGCATGAAGAGGGGGTTTGTTGTTGGCCTGAGCCAACAGGGATTGTATTCATGAGAATATGGGGCTCTCGGGAGAAAGCAGAGGACAGGAACTTAAAGTGCGTATATTAAAGCATCGTTTCTCAACTCTTTGCTTCTTTCTCTGCGTCTCAGAGGTTTGGACATTCCCGCAGTGCAAGTTGTCATCAATTACAACACTCCCGGCCTGCCAAAAATCTACATTCACCGGGTTGGCCGGACGGCCCGTGCGGGTGAGCAGGGAAAAGTGTGTGCCGTTCACTGGCTGAACTGGGATCCCAGGGCTGGGGCCCAGTCCTTTCAGTCAGTGCCACATCTCCTCAGATCAGCACCCTGCCTTAAGATTCCACCGGTGGCTCGTCCTGACTTGTCTGATCTGCACCAACAATTAACTGAATTTTCAGAGCAAATAAAGACCCCTCGAGCAGCCCGGCACCGTGCTGTGCCAGGCAGACTCACGGGGACGGGTGGAATTTGGTGTGGGTTAGGTTTCATCTCCCTCTGCTCGCCAAGATTCACGTATCACCGTGTTTTCATCCTCCAGGTCGGAATGGGATAGCGATTACGCTGGTGACACAGTATGACATCCACCTCGTACACGCTATCGAGGAGGAAATCAGTGAGTAGACACCACGAATGCTGCTAAAACGTGGGATCGTGTATGTTCCTTTGTGCCCGTGGCCCTTGCAGCACTGGTTGCATCAGGGCAGGATGTATGATGCAGAACATTTTCTCTCCCCTGTGGGGTTAAGGTGTAGGAAAGAGCAGGAGCACCTTTGCATAGGTTCAGACTTGCAATCTTTTGTTTTTAGGAAGTTGACCTAATAAATGCAACATCTTGTGCTCTGGGGAACTGTAGGCAGAGGGGAGAATTTCATCCTTTGTGGTTGGCTGAGGAAGTCAGAGTGGTCATAGCATATGACACCAATTTCACCGGTCAACAGTGGAACTATATCTGTTTATTTATTAGTTGAAAATCTGCCTCTGGATTTTTTAACTGACCACGGTCTGTAAATGTCTTGTCTCAATTTAGAACTGAAGCTACAGGAGTTCTCTGTGAAAGAGCAGTCAGTGCTTGACATCTTCACCCAAGTGAACGTCACCAGGAGGGAATGTGAAATAGTAAGTGAGGGAATGTGAAGCCCCTTGGGTCAGAGGACCGGAGATCATGGGCAGCTGCGCGTAACCAGATGTTACAGTCCAACGTGCAGCTCTGGATATGCAGCTTTCCTCCTGAGCAGATAAATGAGAATTTTTATTCCTTTTTCTAGGGGAAGCACTTTGGATGTGTGTAGGGCTATTTTAGTTATCTTCCCTGGATTTGCTCTACTATTGCATGTTCTTGCAGCGTTTTCGTGCTGCTGAGCGTTGAGGCTGGTCTGCGGGCTCCCAAATGTGGGCCTGCTGGTGCGGTTCTGCCGAGCCATTGGAGCTGTACTGCTCTCCTCTGTGTCAGACTTGGTTGCTGACTGCCCTCTTTGCTTTGACAGAAACTCGAAGGAATGGATTTTGATGAGAAGAAAGAAATAAATAAGCGGAAACAATTGATCCTTGAAGGGAAGGTGAGAGTTGCTGCTCCTTTGATCGCTGTGGAAAAGGAATGACAGTCCCTCCCTGACTCCCTTTCGGGGTGGTGAAGTTTTATCTTAAAGGGTGACTGATACTAAGAAGTGTGTTGGAGTAGGGTGTGACTTTAGCAGCCTACTCGGTCATGGGCTGGAAAGCAGCGTGGGCATCGAGGAGAGGCGGCCTGTCCCTAGGCTTGTCACTAATGGCCTGGCATCTGCCGTTGCAGGATCCGGATCTGGAGGCAAAAAGGAAAGCAGAGCTGGCCAAGATCAGGAAGAAAAACAAGCAGTGCCGTGAGAAGATCCAGCAGGCATTTCAGAAGAGAAAGGAGCTGCAGCTGAAGAGGAAACTGCAGAAAAAGATGGAGCGGCGGAAAAAACTGCAAGCTAAGGAAGAGAAACAACATCCTTCGGCCTGACTCGCTTGGCCTGGACTGCCCTGACGTTGCTGCTGCTTTGGGAATACTGGGGTCTGACACGTTTTAACGTGGATACTTCTGACCTGAAATCAGTGTTGGGACAGCATGGGGAAGGGGGGTGAGGGAAGAAGGGACACCGATAAACTGTCTCAGTTATTTTTCCTTCCTGCACAATGCTGCTGGCGTGGGCCATGCCTGGTGGGCTGGACCAGGCTCCTGGAAGAATGTCTTTAAAGAGGATGTTTCCTTCCTCCAGCAAAGGAGAGGCCAGACCTGAATTCTTGGTGACATGAAGGGAAATAAAGATCTTTTTTCTCTTCCCCTTTCATTCAGTCATTGCTCTTTACCTTTCAAGGGCTGGCGCTTGCCACTCACACTTGTTTATATCAACAGATTCTCCCCTGAGCCAGAGTCTAAAAATACTGTGACAAAATGAGCTCAGCCCCTATCTGTGCCATAGCTCAGAGTTTTCCGAGAGGAAAATTCCTAGAACGCACGGGCAGGTTGTATTGGATTGTGTGGGTGGGCCTGGGGGGTTTTCTTGGGATAATTCTGCCCTGTACATTCAAGTGATACCATCGTCTGCCTCAGCTCAGACTCCAGCCCTGGGCTGCTCTCCCCAGCGATATCCACAGGGAGAGCAGAGTCAGGTGTGGAGACCTTGAGACCAAAGATCTCCTATTTCTTCTGTCCTCTTGCTTACGGAAGTAGTTTCTCTGGTTCAGCGCCCAAATACTTATTGCAGCAAGTGACTAGATGTTTGACCTTCCCCAACAGGTGGGAGAGTTGTGGGATTTTACGTGCTAATGTGGGCAGAGAGCTTGGAGATAAAAATGGTTTCATTTCAAGAGCTGAAGTGGAGAAAGCTTGAGCTTCTCGTGGGCGTTTTGTCCCTCAGTCCCTTCATGCTACCTGAGGCCAGCTCCTTCCCTGGCCGCGTGCAGCCCCTGTGGTGCTTTGCCCGAACCAAGCTGGGGCTGTGCACCCCAAGCTGGTGGTTCCCCCAAGGAGAGCAGCCCTGACTCGTTGGGACTGGGAGATGGGAGCGGTACACTCCGGGGTTTCCGAATGGGTTCCTCACTTTGTCCTCTTGGCTGCCCTCCAGGAAGGAAAAACCACTCGAGAGGCTGCCTCGAGCTGTCACAGCCCGCTGTCCCCGGTGGCAGCTGCTGCAGCAGCAGCAGCAAATGGGTTTGTATCAGACCGATGCTTTCTGAATACTAAATGCTCCTCCAGCCTCGTGCACGCTAATTTGCGGAGCGAGCCTGTTGGCTGTAGATGAAAAAGACATCCTCTCTGGGACAGGCTGCTCCTGCTGTCCCGGGGAGGGGGCTGATCCTGCCTTTCCCTTTCAGTGTCGGTTGTTCCCCTCCCTCACAGACGCTTCTTAGTCTGCTGTCTAAGTCTCTTTGCTTCAGCCTGGTGGGGGTTTCTCTATTAGTCTCCTTCCGCACATGACATGCGGGGTTTGATCAAGGCTCTTGTCTCGAAGCTTTATTCAAAATTCCTTTTAATACATCCCTTGTCTTTCTTGAGCAGCCTTTTCTGTGAGCGTAGGACACGTGCTGGAAATGAGAGCTCTCTGTAGTGCTGACTAGATGTTCTTGTTTCAGATAATCAGATTTGGGAGTGGCTGAGTAGAAAAAGAAGTTGCTGTGCTAGTTGGGATAGAGAAAGATGCTTTTAAATTCCCAGATGAGGAATTTACATCTTGCCCAGGACAAAGGGACGTCAAGTGGAATTTCTGTATATGCTGCCAGCAATGCCCCCCCGAGTAGGATATTCCATTTGGGGGTTTCTGTGCTTTGTCATAATCCTTTGGGATCCTGGAGGAATGTAAGGGCTTCTCCTCAGAGCAGAGCTGGTGTTCTGGCTCTGAACCCACCCTCCTCTGTGTGTGGCTCTGCCTGCCCGTCCCCCAAGCAGGCGTCTGGTCTGTGCTGTGCAAGATCTGGCCCGAGCACGGCTGACTCCTTACACCCAGCACGCCCGTGGTCTCTCGCCCGTGCCTTCTGCAGGCTCTGCTCTCTCCCTCCTTCAGCCCGAGCTCCCCAGCTCCAGGGGGGTTCCCTGGCTGGGTTGCCATGGAAACTCTTCTCCATCCAGCATCTCAGATCCACGCCTCTTCTCTCACCTGGACCGTGTGTGACCGGCTGGGCACCACTCTGGCATGGGGACTGTGAACGTCCTGCACCTGTGCCAGCCCTCCTCATCCTCCCGTCTCCTCTGGGTGCGAAGCCATCACCCGGCCCTGCTGCCCTGAGGGGCTCGGCAAGAACACGCTCCTTCGCCTCCCACCGGACGGGGCTGCCCAGAGACGTGGTGGAGTCCCCATCCCTGGAAGTGTTCAAAAACTGTGCAGACGTGGCACTTGGGGACATGGTTTAGTGGTCATGGCAGTGTTGGGTTGACAGTTGGACTTGATTTTAGAGGTCTCTTCTGACCTTAATGATTCTGTGATTCTATAATTCTGTCTGGCCCTGATGGGTCTGTAGGTACCTGCCAGGACAGGCTGGTTGGTGTGTGTTTAAGGAACTACTGGTCTGTTCCTGGAGCCTTTCCCCCCGTTTCTGGCTATCTTACAGAGTGACGAACATCTCTGAGACGTGCTTCCCAGAAGTTTTGCAGGGAGAAGGAAGAGGCTGGGATCCTCCTGGGTGAGACAGGCAGTGTTTGATAAATTTTCCCTGCTGGCAGTTCTGCTGAGCAAGGAAATGGGGAAGTGGAGACAGGTTTGGTGACACGGCAGTCACCTTCAGGAGCTGGCACCCCCTCTATCTATGGATGCTGTAATAGGCAGGAAAGCTCTGGATCTCTACACTGAAGGAAAGGCATCTGCAATGAAAGAGTCTGGGGGAATCTCTGGGCCAGGCTTTTGGTTTCTCTGCTGAGACAGCAGTGCTGCATTGGAGCTCCCGTTCCAGCTTTGCTGTTTTTTTTTGCCTGCAGTCCAGCCTCTCAGTGCTCCCCCACAGGGGCTGCCCTGGGTGCACCCCCCATCTCTGTGCATTTAACAGAGCTGTAGATCCCTGCGGTGCGAAACCTCACCGGTCCAGCCTGCGCTCTATCAGCTGCTGCTTTACCTTTGGATGCTCTTTGCAAACATGAACTCGGCTGTTTCGAAAGCCTTTAAAATCTGCTTAACCAACTTTTCTACCAGGAATGGCCTTTTCTCCTCCAAGCTCTCCTCCCGGGGCAGCTTGCGTGCAGCTCGGTGGGGCCCCCCCACCAGCTTAGCCGGTAGATGGCAGCTGGGGTGCTCTGACACCTCCGCTGCTGGCGCTGGTCCTGCTTCAGAGGGAAATACAGCACAGGGCTTCTTGGCTGGGCAGCTGGATATTAAAGATTCGACTTGAGAAAGCAGGGACGTAGCGGAGGGACAGGGCTGCCTGTCCCCAAGTTTCGCCCATGCAACACTCCAGCCCCTCCCAGGTGCTGCTGCTGCTGGCAGGATCCATTTTCCTTTTACTCGCAGGGCAGGACGGATCCTGAACCCTGCAATGCTCCATCCTAGTTATGGCTGCTGCTTCCAGGGCTCTCCCCACAACTCACTGCAGTTTCTCTGTTGAACCTCCACCTTCCCTGCTGCACCTTAAAGCTCTTCCCTGCCGGTTTCTGCTGATTAAACTCCTTGTCCGTGGCACACCCTCACCCAAGGCTTGACTGCAGCTGCCCAGACATGTGTCTTCACTCTGGGCAGGACATGCTTGACACTGTAACTCCCCTAGTTCCTCCCTGTCAGCAGCAGGACTCCAAAAATGGGACAGAGGAAAGGAATACCTGGATTTTGTCTTCTGTCCTAAGAAACCCCCCCTGCTGGCTCCATTTAATTCATACCTCTCACTCCCTGTAGCAGCTCCGTCTCCTGGGTCCTGCATGGCTTGCTTTGGATTCCTGTCACCTCTGGGAGGAAAAGCAGTTGCCAAGGACCAGAAGATTCTGCTCCAGTTGTGCAAAGAGAAGCTCTGAGCCCAGCACTAGCCTGTTGCACTGGCTCATCCTCATCCCTTCGTCTTTGCTCAGTACTTCCCAGAATCATTCTTGCAATTCCCAAGGCCAGACATCACCAGGTGTGCCGCTCCCACAGTGAGACCCCAGGTGAGCGCCCACGTCACCAATCTCTAGGCTCAGACACTGTTTTCATCTACCCAAAACAAGGCCTGGACATCAGTATCTCCAGCCAGTAATGTTTTCTGTCTGTTGCCTCCTGAGATTTGAAACCCTGTTAGCCCAGCATCAGTGCAAACAGAAGGCAGAGATCATACACAGCATCCTCTCTGGCTTCTTCTACCAGCCCTTGGGAAAAATAAGCCAGCAGCAGGGTGAGGAGCAGGCGCTGAGGCAGAGAGGCTGCCTCGTTCTCTCCGGAGCACATGGTATCACACGTGTGACAGCGGTACGCGAGGAAGGGGTGACAGTTCAGGTTTGTGGCAGCCTACGCAAGTCCCAGTGAAATACGAAGGGGACATATGCTCTGCCAGACTGCAGAGCCCTTCCCTGCACATCATGGGGACAGAGCTGGTGCCACGGGGACAGAGGTGACACCAGCCTCCTGCCCCTCTCCATCTGGCAGCTTCTTACAGCTGCGGTTGGCAGCGGCATCCAAAGAAATGGAATTTGGTACCTTTGATTCTCACTTCCCAGGCTTGTGCTCAGCAGAGCCTGAGGAGCTGAGGGACTGCAAGTGGTGGTTCAGCTGGGAGCTGACAGGAGCGTGCAAGCGCTGCTCCCTCCAGTTACCTGTTGCTGGAGCTGCCATATCTCTCGTGCCCGGAGCGTTGCTTGCTCTTATCACCAGTGTCTCATTTCCAGCATTATCCCAGCTGCTGCTTTTTTTGGCATGGTGGAGGGAAGCTGATGGAGGAGGTGGGACCTTGCGCAGAGGTGATTAGCGCTGTAGCTCACATTCTTTTCCCTCGGAGCAGAAACTGCCTTTACACACCACAATCTAATAATGAAAATAATTACAAATTACTCTGGGAAAGGGGACTGTGAACCTCACTGGATTTTTGGGGCTTTATTATGTGTTCATGGACGTTTTCCAAAAGACGCATTTAATTGCCTCCTCTGGTGCGCACTGAAATTGTCTTCCAGCGTGTGCATGTGTATGGGGGCTGTTACACTCACAGAGTACACTTGCCTGTGCTGTCAAGTGTAAACAGACCATTTCTGCACTAAAAATAACCTCGCCTCTGAGTAACAGAGCAGCTGATCTCTGTAGCCCACATGCAGGAGCTCAGAAGGGTTAGGTCACCTATTTTTCATTAACAGTGCTGTTTAATCACAAATTGCCCCCATGTTTGATCCTTCAGAGATTTAAAACAAAGTACCTAGTTGCTTTCCCTCAAAAAAAAGAAAAATTGCTTCAGTCTGTTCTCAGGAAAATACAGATATCAAAGACAATCTGTTAAGTAACTTCGATGTGAGGCTGCCTAAAACCACCACACGCATTACCAGGGGGCTCTGCAGCAGCTTTTTGGGAAGCGAAAGATTTTTAAAAATCACTTAAGAGTATTAACCAGTCCTGTCTGTGCTAACCTGCTCCTCTCCTGGCTCTCCAGGCACCTCGCACACGCTAGTCCTTGAAGTCCAACACTCCTTCAGGGAGGGTAATTGCCTGCTTTGCAGAGGAGAAGGCATCAAAGCCTGGAGTGTGCAGAGCGAGCCAGTGGCAGAGCTGGTGGTGGTCTGCTGCTGGGACCGCCAGGCCAGCTCCGGGTCTGGGCTGCATTTGCATTCCTGTTCAGCCTGGAAGGCCTCTGTCAGCATCTGTCAGCATTAGACACATCCTTTTTCTGAGGCTCTACTATTGGCATGTCCTGCAATAGCAAAGCTTCATTTTCTCTTGCTGAGCTGGTCTCGGGTCCTTCTGGACCGAGAAGGTCCTTCTTCATCTCCGCATCGAGAGCAGAGAATCACACCTTGCTGGTGTTCGTGTGAAGTGGGGAAGGTGGCAGCATTTTTTATTTGTTCATCCTGATCTCGCATGTGAACCATCTTCCACGTGCTCCCTTTATTAATGTTCTGTCTAGCGTTTCTATGAATAATTAAGATCCTAATTTGCTGAAGGAATTAGGTCTCTCAAGGTACCCGCAATCGGTAGCATTTCTCCTCCAGCCAAGGAAGCCACCGTTATTTAGTTGTTGACAGTAACTGTTATTGTGAGACAGAAGCAAACATAAAACTGCAGCCTTGCCATTCAGCGCTGGCTTTTGTAACATGAAATTGTCTCCTTTTGAAGCAAGAGAAGCATAAACAGGGAAGGGACAAGGGTTGGAAAGTGCACAGTGGGGATCTGTTAGAGCACTGCTGTTCCGAAACACCGCTGAAGTCCTTTTTAAAAGCTCACTCAAGTGGGGCAGATGGAATTAGTGCTTTGCTGCTACACCGTCCTGCAGCAGGGCTGTCTCACTGGTAACCAGAGATTTAGGGCATTTGTGGAAATAGCTGGTGGTGAACGGGTTTTCATTAGTTTAGAAGAGGGGAAGGCTGCCACGGAAAGTGCCTCCCAGAACCATCCGTCGCGCTGCCCTGCAATGCCTCAGTAAAAGACTTTTTAACAAACGCCGAGCACAGGATAGATCTCTATCAAAAAGCCACTACTCGGATTATTCTGGCAAGGAAAAG